ATGGGGAAAGAAAGGAAAACTAGCCAGCCAGATTAAAATAAGTAAATAAATAAAGAAAGAAGAAAGAATAAGAAGAGTCTCATCCCGTAAATTGCTCTTCACCACCAGCCTGCCACAAGGCTTGTGTCTCCAAGGTGGGATTTAGGGATGGGCTCAGCTTGCCCATGGATGGGTTCCCAGCAGAACTGCGATTCCTAGCTACCAGGTCAAGAATAGTCACTTCTCTTGATCTGTTTTTTACTTATCAGTGACAATGGTTGCCGATACCTGCATTTCTGCTGCTGGCTCTAGTTACAGTAAAAGGTATATTTGGATATGTTAAGGGATGTTCAAAATGTAAGAGGCTGGATGAGAGCAGAACAGGGTGGCAGCAAGAAGTTCCCATGCAAAAAACCCTCTCAGTCTTCATGAAAAATGTTAATAGCAAAGCAAATCAGAGACTCAACACAGTAAGAGAAAAAATCCTATAAAAATCGCACATTTAGGAACAAAGACAACTTCTAAAGTGTTTACATGAGAAACACTAAAAGAGATGGGTACCAAGAGTTATTTGGTAGGTTGCATCAGCAGAAAGCTCAAATGCAGAAAGAGAACCCATTAGTAACTCCCTCGGGAGAACACGGGGCCTGGACACAAACATTCACTGTATTTAAACATACCGAGATTATCTGCAAGCTGAGCAGCTCTAACAAAAGATAAAGCGAAAACCCCACACCTCTGCGGATGCTCAGTGCGGGTGCAACGTGAGTTGAACAGCTCAGCACGTGGAATCCATCCTTCCCTCAGGCTCAGCTCTGGAGCGACCTGGAGCAGAGAACACAGGCTGGGGGCAAGTGGGATGCAAACCTCGCTGCACCCCGCGGGAAGGATGCAGCAGTCTCGAGTCAGAAGGCACAGCAGCTCGAGTCCCTGGTCCCACAGCGCGAACAACAGCAGGCTAAAGATAGTCCCTGGCTTGTAGTGCCATTGCACAGGGTGGATTTCAGCTGCCCGGAGTTGCTGGGATGAGACATTCCTCTCCCACAAGGAGCCAGACAAGATTACTGTATATGGGCAAGCATTCCCCTGCGACGGGCTTCTCCCTCTGTGGTAAACAGGCAATCCTGCGGCTGCACAGCCGGGAGAGATCTGTGCCATCTTGCAGGGCCATGGGGATTCACGCTGTCGGAAACCCAGAATAATGCTGTCACCTCAGGGCAATCTAGCAGAGGGGCAGAGCCAGGCAGGAGAGGCTGAGGCAGGAGAAGGCCTACGAACAGCTGGACAACAAAAACCTTTGCTTAAATTTTAGTAGCTTTCAACCATCGAATAGATCTCGAGCCCCAGACTCCTGGTGTTGCTTCATTATGGGTCTCCACACAAGCACATAAACCTGCCGGTCGGACAGCGGCTGCCCCGGAGGGGTCAGCAAGGAGCACAGCTGCTACCCGCTGCGACTTCTGATAAGATGCTCGAAACCAAGCTAGGACCGTGTGTGGACAGGGGCTGTGGAAGGGCAGAGCACAGGGACTATCACAGCCTATTTCTGACCTCCCGCAGCCGCTGTCCTGCCACTCCCATGCCAGCAGCATGGCGAGGGTCTGGCAGGGCGGGCAGCCGGGGAATGGCACCGTCCACCAGTGCAGGGCCCGGAAACCGTTCACGTCTTCTGTCTCAGATCTGCATGGGAACACAAAGCTGGACGTCCAAGTTCAGACTCGAGTTCTCACGGGAGTATTCGGGAGCAGATGGTTTTCGCTGACTTTTGTACGAACTAGAGTAGAGCAGTGCGTGGGGCGCACCGCCTTCAGCAGAGCTAGTCTGGATGGGCACTAGTTAGGAGAGCAGATCAGCTCCGCAAGTACTCCGTACAGGTCATGTAATGCTCCCTTCCTGACAAAACGATACGATCAGCTGCAAAGGAGAATGGCTTTAGTCCCAATTTAAATGGCATACCATATTCTTTGGACTATCCGATTTCTTTGCAACCCACACCAAGCCTGAACTCTGCAACTGTTCTTACCCAAGCCAATCCCAGGGCAGGCATGAAACCCTGCACAGCTCGAGCAGAGGTCTGCTCCTGCAGACTCTACTCAGCACCACAGCTGGAATAAAGCTATTTTTTTAATATTTTTTTTTCTCCTTTTTCAGTTTTAAAGTCAGAACTAAAATCAAGCCAAGCTGAGGTCACGATGGTTCTTCTGCTCTGAGCTTCCCTGTTGCCGTACCAGAATAACTCTCACAGTACAGGGACAGTGACAGATTGGCACATCATGGAATAGGTGCTATAGAAACCACACAGTTCGTAGAAGCAAAAGATTTCTTCTCCCCCCCTCAAAAAATAACCCACTTAATTCACGTATTTTCTCTCTATACTGTATATATATTATATATAGACACAATTTTCTGATAAACATTTACAAGATATTGTAAAGAACATTGAAAAGATATATCTCCATTTGCATAACAATGCACACTCACATACTTAAGTATACAAGGACACACAGTAATGTACAATCAATAAATAAATACTTTTCCCCCCCAGAAGTTATTCAAAAAACACTGATATTGAGCGGCCCAAAGACACTCTCAGTTAATACAGACAGCAAATATTGTGCAGAATTTCTTGGCTGTTTTTGTTTAAAAAACCAAGAAAAGAAAAAGAGAAGCTTAAAAGATAAAGTGTCAGCAATGTTGCTTGGTAAGACTGTGTTTAAGTTGACCTATTGGTTCTTGTCCCTCAGAAAGGGGAGGACAGAGCACTTCCCTTCCCCTTCGGAGAAGGTGATGCAGGCAGACTATTACCTGTCCTAGGACTTAGAGGGAACAGGAACAGCCTGGTAGGGAGGGCACAAGCTTCCCGCTCTACTTTGTGGAAAGATGAAAGATTCACATATGAACTGGCAGATTTGAAGCTCAAATGCCTTTGTTTCCTGGGCTACTACAGACCAAGCACTCTTGGAGATTTAATGCAGAAAATTGCTTCAAAGAATTTCCTAGATGGTTGGCACACATTTGCTTGTTGGGATTATGAGAAATGAAAGGCTCCCCATTACTCTCACCCCCTGCTGCAGTCCTCTTCCCCAAAGGGTTCAGTACCTACTACTGTTCCCTGGTTTTTCTAGCTGCAGCCTCTGTGTCCCCGTACTGCAGAAAGACTAGCTGATTTGCTCAGAAACTGCAAATCGCTTCACCACACTGCAGAACTTTTCTGAAGCAGCAGTTTTCTCTTCTGCAGATTTACATCTGTCTTTTTTTTCTGCAAGCAACATCTGACACATGCCACAAGTAAATACAAAACACAGTCAACACAAACAGATGTTCCACAGAAGAAGGGAAGGGCCCCTTTTCCCTTCTGGTGAGCAGCACTCCAACAGCAAGAGAAGAGCAGGGCCTTATCTTGCAGAGGGGAGGAGGAGAGCACACAAATATCACACATTGCATGGAGGGGGAACACAAATTTTTGCAGCAAAACTTGAGAGAAAGTACCCTTATAGAGAGCTACAACCCAGCGTCTTCCCTGCTGCTGAAAGCACACATTCACAGCAGCCTTCTGTGGCCATGACAAAGCCCTCCCTGGCCAAACTAGACCTACCAACAACCTACACCTCTCCTTTTCCTTTATTGTTTTTACCTGAGTTGAAAAATGAATCCAAACCCCCCGTAGCGCAGCCTTAGCATGACACAGCAGCTCAGCTCTCACGCTGGTAGTGCTGGAGAGGCACTTCATGCAGCGTGCTCCAGGGGCTGCAACACTGGAGAGCCACTGCAGGAAAAGCGGCCACAGAAGTGCATCTTCCAAAAGCAAAGACCACTCAGGGACCCTGGGCTATTTTCCTCTTCACAGGCATGTGAAAGAAGCCCACCAAGACCTAACTGGAGACTTTCAGTGGACTTAGGGGGCTTTGCAGCCAGCCCCAGAAGCACACAGAAAACCTGCAGGCACCAAGGGGATTGTTTGCACTGTCTAGCTTTGAGCAGCTGGTCTTTTAATTAAGAGAGGAAGAGACAGGCACCTTCAGAGGGAAAGTCAGGACAGTCACCGAAGTCAGGAGCTCTGACTTGCCTTCCGAGGAGCTCTCCCCTAACAAGGGTTGCAGAGGAACGATAACGAGACCAGACTCCTAACACAAGCAGCTAGAGTAAGGCAGGTATGAAAACCTCAAGTCTAGAGTTCCCAGAGGAGGTTAGGACCAGATTTTCCAGTGTTCAGAGAGCGTTACAGAGGCTGGATTTTGAAAGAAAAACCCAATGCTGAATTTGGAGCTCTTCTGGATGAAAATCCATCCAGAGCTGAAACTCTTGTGTGCTCAGATATTGTAGTAACAAACAACGTAAAAATCCCAGGGAGAGAACAGAGCCCTAAAAAAAATACTAAAGGGGATGCTATGCATCAAGGGACAAGATCAAAAGAAGAGGAATTTCTGTCATCAAAGTCCCTCTCTGTTACTGGCAGAACCTCATAACGTTAGTAAGAAACTGAGTACTGGCAGCATCCCTGTCTTGCCCAGGCTTGCAGGGCTGGCTGGCTTCCCCGTGCCACAGGGTAACGGCTGTCCAAGGAAGCAGCTTTATTTCCTTGCAACAAAGGCTGTCGAGCCCGAGTCGGCCCCGAGGAGGGCTGGCAGCGCTGCTCTCCCAGACCCCAAGCTCTGACCTGGGATGCTGGCAACTGCCTCGGCAGTTGTGGTGGTAACCACACGTGCTGCCCTTCTGCTGTAGCAAGGCAAGGAAGTGACTGCCTGGGTGCTGCTTCCAAAGCAAGTCCTTAGCAATAAAATGCAACTGTACAGATCTTTGGTTAAGTCACTGAAGAAGGCTGCGAAGATCTGAGCCGGGCCCCTGGACCTAACACTGAACACAGCACTTGGAGAGCTAAGGGTACTTCCAGTTTAGACAGCGGCATGCGTCCAACTACCTTATTTCCACAGGTGTGGCACTTCGAGAAAAAGGAGAAGGGGAGGAAGCATTGAAGGGGAGTCCCGGCTCTTTGTCTGGATGCCTCGTCTTCCCCATGTCCTTCATTTGTTCTCGATCAGAGTCTGGACTTTATAGACAAGGTCCCGAGCCAGCTTCAGGATCTGCTTGGTGTTGTGCCGCTCAGCCATTTCTGGAACACAGACAGAAGGAACCCACAAAGAGGCTAGACCCGCGCAGCCCGGCGTCTCGAGGAGTCCCCCCAGCCTCACAGCTCTCTGCTTCGCAGCCGAGCTCCAGGCGGGAGCTGAAGCTGCAAATTCCTGCCCAAGTCCCCAAGCACCATCCCTCGCAGAGACACCTGACTCTGAAGAGCCGTCATTACCCAACTCATCTCGGGATGATTACAGCCAGCAGGAAGCACAACCTACGCTCACAGCTCCCTTCAAGCATGGCAAGGTGGGCTGTTGCCAAGGATGGCAGGGTGGCTTCCCCCAGGCACCACCAGGGCCCCCTCAGAGCCTGACTGTTCAAGGGCAGTCAAGTTCAACTCTACCATCATGTTCCAAGTATCAGCATCGCACAACCATACACTACTCTGTTTTAAACATTTACCAGTATAGCCCAGATATGACTGTCTATAGTCAGACAGACACGTGCTGCCTACATCTGAGCAGCTGCCACAAATTCAGCCCAACAGAACACAAGCTGTACCGTTGAAAAACTTGATGATGTCTGTAAAATCCATGTTGTTCTCCAAGATTATGTCCCGGTACATTTCCACCAAAGCCAGGGCTATGAAGAGCACATAGTGCGCAGAGGAAACGTGTGCAGCTGCCCAGATGGTCTCCCAGACGGCGAACACGTCATCATACACCAGCTCTGTTAGCAGAGGAAAAAGCCCAGCAGTTACTACACCAGCCACGGGTTTAGAATCATCCTGACTCACAGAGTTCACAGCAGCACTGGGAAGACACGCTGGGTGGTTTCTTCCCACAGGAACCTGTTCCAATTGGAAGCAATAAGTCAGTCATCTATAGAGACAAATATTCTGGCCTGCAGCAGGTGGCACAGGCTTCAGGACACAAACCCAGTGGAGGCTCACCAGCAGCTCTGGAACAACAGGTTCTGTATCTAGACAGAAAAGTCAGCCACAAATCTACCAGGGAAAAGCAAAACAGGAACACATGGTAAAAAGTTAAGTTCAGACAACTCAAGTTGCAGAGTGTATTGAGAAGCACGGAAGCATGGCAGACCTTGCCTTCCCTCCCCATTTGCTGGTCTCAACTGCCTCCCTCCCAGCACACACCTCTCTTGAAGTCCAGAAGAAACCATCGGTAGCAGAAGTAGAAATGAGTGTAATCACCATTCTGGTGCATCAGCTCGAAGAGCTCAGAGTCCAGAATCTGCCAAGAAAAGCAAAAGGAAACTCATCAGTGCACACCAGAGGCACCAGCTGTTCCTCTGCCTGCCTTCCTCCATTCCCACTGCTCTCCTACCACACCATCTTCCACCCAGCTTCTCCCTCCTTTGCAATCCTGGCACGTGTCACTCCCAGGCTCTTTTTACAGCCCCCTGCTCTCCCTCCTGCTTCCTGCCACTGAAAGCTCCTCTCAGCCCCCCTGAGACCCCCGTCCCAAGAACAGCTTTCCCCCTCTGGTTTGAGAGGCTGCCGACCCTGTGCCAGGACCCCCCTACCTGGATCAGAGATCTCATGTTGGCAAAGTGGGTGTCCATGGCTCCCCCGTGGGGGAAGTTCTGATTCATCCTCTTCATAAGCTCCGTGAAACAGCTGAAAGCCAGAGCCTCTGCGCAGGGAAGAGAGACAGTTACTGCTCCGCTGCACAGACACTGCTGCATCTGCACCCGTGTCACCACACCTTGCCATCCACTCGCAGCAGGAATATCCCTTCCCGCTCCACACACACAGAGCCAGGGCTGCGCAGCAGGGACTGGCCTCGGAAACACACCTCACACTGCAAAAGGTACATGCTGTCCCCAGGTTGGGCTCCTGGGAGTCAGACAGCATCAAGGACAAACGGGATCCTGCCACAAGCTGCTCCACACCTCCGAGCACGGGACCCTCCCACTGCAAAGGGCCACCACCAGCCCAGCAGATCCCCCCACGCACTCCCACAAAGGTATGGGGACAGTGGAGCAGAGCTACCCACTCACCGTCATCCAGGATGACCAGGAGAGGGGCTAGCAGGTCACACATCCCCTGCACGTAGCCAATCTCAATGTGCTGCCAGATGTAGCTGTGTGAGAGAGCAGAAAAGGTGGCCCGTGAGCCCCTCCCGTGCCACGCATGAGTGCCACAGCCTGCCACCTCACTTGCCCGTGCCCTGCCTCCATTCCTGGGATGCTGGCATTTCCTACATGCTGCCACCAATGCACGGCAGCAGGCAGGGCAAATCAGACCTGTTTATTCTGTTACGCCTGTGCTCCGTTCCTCTACAGCCAACCTGTAAATGATTAAGTTCCCGTGGTGACTTTCAGGTAAGCCATGCGTGGCACAGCCCCGGATCAACACCCTGCAATGGCCGTGACCATTGCAGGGTGTTGATCCGGGGCTGTGCCACGCATGGCTTACCTGAAAGTCACCACGGGAACTTAATCATTTACAGGCTGGCTGGGGGGGGACGGGGCGCAGGGGG